CCATTCAAATGGTGTGCGCGCGCATTGCGTCATGTGATCGATTATGCAGGGCGGGTCTTACCTGGAACCCCCCCCCCAAATATTTTATTCAAAATGGCACCCATGTTCCTTACTCTCTATTCCCACTGGCGAAATAGAGAATCGCATCCTGACCAGCTCTGCAGCCAGTTATAACACACCTTGAAAGGTATATAACGGCATCATCCCTATTGACTTTGGGGCATCTCTTAAAGACTTTTATGCCCCTAGGCTTGTGCAGCTGCTTTAAGTTAATGCTTAGCCAATCATTTTAGTGATTATTTTGTATTGTTCTTATGGTGTTGCATGTCTTATGTTATATCTTGCTGTGTACTGCCTTACTGTTTTATATGAATTAGTGGTATAGACACATTTTTAAAAAACAAACAAACAAACAAACAAACAAATGCCTTGGCCCGGGAAGTGTGCAGGGTCAGCTGTTGACATTTTCTGAGGCAAAGGACAAGATGGTGTCCCCTCCCCTCCCATGTACAGAAGTCAGTTCAACAGGTAGTTGACTCTTAGGGCTTGTCCACTCCAGAACAAAATGTGGACCGCCCGCAGTCCAGTGATGTCTGGGACCTTTATATCTGTGGTTTTCCAAATTTGAAATTTCCAGCCATTGGGGGGTGGCACATTTAAATAGGAGTAAATCCAGGATAATGCTGAGATGGGAAGGGGCTTCATGTGGACCTGTCTACTTGAATGGGGATACAGGCCACAATCACACATTTGTGCCAAGCCATGGTTGGTCTTAGTGTGATGTATAAGCCAGGCCAAAGTTTCTGTAACATGAGTGGCGGTCCCCAAAAACTACTTTACATTTTCTTAGATTTTTAATGATCATTGCAGGACCAAATTCACCGATCGGTTTAGAGATAATGCCAAACACAGCTGGAAAGAATTCTCTGCGCAATTGGCTTCAGATGAACGCCAAACAGGAGGGCTGCAAGCAAGCAGTCTTGTGGGTAACACTCTGTCTACCAGGAAACTATAATTTTATGAGAGGAAGCAGTTTCCTTTTGGCTTAGCGTCAAATGACTTGTTCCATTCAAGATGCTAATGATGCCGCTTCCAAGGAAGAGTGTCGCCCGCCTGCCCTCCACCACAACACACCCATTCCTAAAAATTCCAGTACTAAGGACACTTCAATTGATCTAAGATATGTAAGCCACACATACGTAAGCCACAAAGGGCAAATCTGAGACTTCTGTGGGGCCTAGTGCAAGCAAGAAGGAGGAGCTTCCCAGTGTAGACATCTAGGCTGCTAGAAACCTGTGGCACCTATCATCTGGAAGGCTGGGCTCTTCTAGGCTGGGCTCTTCTCTTGCCTCCTTTGGTTTGGAGTTATATGAGGGCGGTGTGTCTGTGTGTGTGTATGTACAGAGACTAATATGGTGGTGTGGCTGATTGTTTGCTGCCTGGCAGGTTGCCAGTGGGAAGTGATGTCTGTGTCTGTGGGTGGTCGGCCTGAGCAGAGCAGGCAGCTTGGGGAAGAGCTGCGAAAGGTACAAAGGAGCTTATGGGAGCTCCCCTCCATCCTCACTTGTCAGTGCAATTGACAAGATGAGAGATAAGGAGACTGTGAGCCCAGTAGGAGCATACTTAAGGAGCATATCTCCCTAAGAGCACCTCTGAATAAACATCTCTGCAAGTCTCCCTCTGCTTTATGTTAAATGATATGCTGATTGCTTCTGTATACTTGCCAACCGTTATGGAAAAATATTTGGCAGGGCACCTGAGATTGGAATTATGTGTAAGATTTTCTAGCATTCACATTGGCCCAGTTCTCTGGTAAGGTCAGGCGGCATGCTTGGAGCTCAGGTGACTGCACACACACACACACACACACACACACACAGTCACACTGCACATAGCAAACGTGTGAGGGGGCAATGAGAACAACCCTAATTCAGCCAGCACCACTTGTTTTTCTCTTCAACCTCCATAGATTGGAGGGTGATTGAAGGTTTGTTCACACATTACTCTGAACACAAGCACAAGCTGTCTCTTCACAGGTACAAGTGTTTGTGTGGAAAAGTGTACACTTGTTGATTTGTATAGCTCAGCTACTACCTACACAGACTGTACCCTGATTGAATGCTACATGTGAGTAACTGTATGAGTGTACAGATCTACAACTTGTTTACACAGATGCCTTGATTGTACTCTCATAGACTGTAACATGTGAACACCCTTTATGTGAAGCAGGGAGTCTCCTGTATGCACTTTTCTGAATCTTTTTCCAGAGAGATTTTACCTGGGATTGGCCACTTTCTGCCACTCTTATTTTATAGCCCTGTTCAAGCATGAAACCCCCGTGCAGTTTCAATTGTGTGCAGGAGAGACTGAGAGTGCATTCTCTGGCCCCTCCCTTTCTGTTGGATACACCTGGTCCCACCTCTCACCTCCTTAGCTCTCTATACAATTTAGATCGTGCTGGATACTGAAATGGCTTTTATTCTTGGGTGAATAAGCTTTAGGGATTTCGAAGCCATTGTGTACTGATTCGTTTCCACAGCCTTGCCTGCCAAGTTAAAAAAGAAAGAAAGAACAGAACTACGAGGAAAGAGCATTGTTGAATTGCAATTATTAGGTTATGGTGGTTTGGGCTGGTCAGCATCTTCATAAAAAGAAGCTATGGGCAATTAAACAATTGTAAGACACAGCTGCAACATACGACTTTTAAAAAGGAGAGAGCTCTGCCTCAGATTCAGGAAGTCAGGCAGGCAGCTCAGAGAACTAAAGCCTAAATAGTAAAACATATATTGCCTATACAGATTATGTACAAAAACATTACAGAGATATCCATGATGTACAAACTCTGATAAGAAAAACAGCCTAGAAAAAGGTTGCACAAAATGAAAATGAAAATGCATGGAGAAGATTTATTGCTCTTTTGCAAATGGGTAGCTGATCACTTTCCCCATTTCTTTTGTAGGATTTCATTAGATGCCAAATGTCCTGTGCAACCTCAGCAGTTGACATCAAATGCCATATGAAGCCTGGGGATCTATCTATGAAACTGCATGCGCTGATGTGCATCAGTGTTTGCCCTGCTCTTTCCTGGTAGAGTACAAAACAAGTACTTCTTGCTCAGGAAGAATTTGTGTAGCACATTCTCTCTTGAACAAGATTATGATGCTATTACCCTGTTTATAAGCAGGGTTGATAGCTAGCAAGATACTTGAATAATCAGTAGGAAAGCTACAGTATTGGGCAGCTATGTGCTCAAATGCACATATTCACTGTGATCCAACTGAGGCCGCATGGATAGCTATAAGGATTCACTGTGTGCAGAATTCCTGATTCCAGAAAGGCTCGTCCAGCAATCACAGCCTGGGTGTGCACAACAGTCGGATTACTGGCAATAACACAAACCATATATTCAGAGGTAGGAGGGTAGAATGTGGGGAGAGAAGATTGGATTAAAGTTATTTTCCTCCACCCAAACAATGGATTTATGTTACCAATAATCTGCCTTGCACTGCTAGACAGGGCTGCTGCTCAGGCATACGGTTGTAGTAGGACCATTATCTATCTTTCTGTTAAATAAAGCAGGCCCAAATTCCAGTAACTGCAAGTAATAAATGGCTACAGTCATTCTACATGTCTTATCTGGCCAGCTAAGTTGTGAACAGATGATCATGAGACAGTAAGACTAGAAATTATGACTTTTTAGTTCAATCAATCAAGTATTCACTTTGACAGAGACCTATTTTGATTTAATAAATGATTGCTGTGAGGCTATATAAACTAGATATTTTGATGATGATGATGATGATGATGATACAGGGGGAATGTGACATAGTGCGTGGAGAACACTAGATTGGAATGCTCCATACACAGTTTGGCAAGGCTTTCAAAAGAGATCTATTTAAATTAAAAATTAAATTGTGTTGGCATGCCTTCAGATATTAGACAACATTTGAATGTACCTGGCTTCCATGTCAGTGCACTATACTAGGCAGTCTTATTCTGCATATTCTATTCTGCACAGTAAAATCAAGACAGATATTGTTAAAAATTATTTCAGCAGTTGTTCTGAATAGAAGTTCTTCCAGTCATTTTAGAAAGCGGCACACAGAAAGAGAAAGTTGTCATTCTTATTTTTCCTATTATTATTATTATTATTATTATTATTATTATTATTATTACTACTAAAACCATTATCTTTGCAATCCATGAGTGAAGATTAAGCAGCAAGAGGACTGACCCTGATCTTCTCTGTATGTTCGTTGCTTAAAGGACATTGGCAGGAAATGGTCAGCCTGAGGACACAATGAAAGGAAACAAACGCAGCAGAAAAAGTTTCACTGATAACATGTGATCGGAGCTGGTGAGCAGCTTCAGCCGGTCATCCAGCTATTCAGGCCAAAGTCTCAAAAGCACAGTGCTGACTCCAACAAGAATGTGTCAGAGAAGCATGTGCAGGGCTGGTGAATGACACCTGACACACGGCAGGTGGGCGGGGAGGGAGGGAAAATGCTTTTTGCAAATTACCATATTGTGCAATGCACTTCTTGTTTAATCAGTCAACGTCCATTTGAGAATGCTTCTTTTGGAATGAATTGAAAGGTGGCCGTGTGTCAACAGTAATAATATATGCTCTGTGAAAGATGGAATCATAGACATAGTGGGTGCTCAGCAAAAACAGCCATTCATTCCATTTCTTTGTATCTTAGCAGTTGAAAATACACTATGCTAGGAGTCAGCTGCTTGCTTGAAGATAGCCATACAGACTTTTCACCCTGTATGGGGTGTCCAGTTCTTGTAAGGCTTGCTGAGCCAATCGGAAGGGGTATTAGAATAGAACAAGCAATATTCTCAGTAGCGTGCTCAACCTGGGTCCTTTTCTACAGTGGAGGCCTCACAGAGAGAGGGGGAGAGAGATAGGAAGAGAGTGCACGATTGTATAGGGACCTCCAGACTAAGCATGAGGAAACTAAGTGGCTTTCTGGATGTTCTTTGATTCCCATCAGGCCCAGCCAGCAGCCAATGGTCAGAGATGATGGAAGCTGCAGTTCAAGAACATCGGAAAGGCCACACCCCTGCTGTCCAACTTGTGGTTCAACAGACAGAAGTGCGCCACCACCTATGACCTGCTCGCTTGAGAAATGTAATTCCCATATTTCTACTGGTAGTATCTTCTTAGCATAAGCAGAAGAGGCCAACATTAGTTTAAAGTATTTATACATCTCTCTTTAGCTGAAGAGACCCCTACAAACATCAGTCATTGTCTAAGACTCACGCTAGATCCCAGGGAAAGCACTGAAAAGCATTCGTGACTTGTATAATTACTATACAGTCATTCCTCGGGTTGCGAACGTGATCCGTGCAGGAGGCAGCCTGAAGCGCTGTGTCTGCACACACGCATGATGCGATTCGGTGCTTCTGCGCATGCACATTATGTCAATTTGTGTTTCTGCGCATGCGCATGCGCCGAAACCTGGAAGTAACCTGTTCCAGTACTTCCGGGTTCAGCGCAGTCTGCAACCTGAAAACGCGCAACCCGTAGCGTTCGTAACCCGAGGTATGACTGTATAAAGAGCCATGTCAGGATATATGTACACAAATCAGGGAGCCAAAATATAAAGACTTTAAACAATGGGAATCAAAGGAGCTAAACGACAGCACGAATCTTCAAATTTTTCATAACAGACAGGGCCTATAAGGGAAAGGGACCTGTGTTACAATTTTTACCTGGCACAGATAAATGATGCTTTGCTAATGGGTATCTGGTTCGCCACTGAGACTAATAGGATGCTCAATGAAATGGATCCGACATCTGATCCAGCTTCCTATTCTTAGGCATGTTCACACATTACATTCAACTGGGTTAGGGAAGAAATTCAATTCACATTTAAAGGTGAACTTACTAATTTGCATTTTACAAAACAACACACAAACTGAAAGACGCAAAAAATTGTGCTGCTCTGAAGTTTGCAATGCACTTCTCCAGCCAAGTATTATTTACCAAAAAAAAATCATACAGTGTGGCTGTAGATTCATATATTAGTGAAAATAACACACAAACCCCCATTGTATTATGGGGAAATGCTTTTCAAAAATGTATATATCAGGATAAATTCCATACGAGAATGTGTAAGGAGATTTGCACTAAAATGCTGATGAACAAAGCTTTAAAAAATGGATTGCAAATTAATGTGGAGAACCTCAGATTGGAAAAATGAGAAACTGTGAGAAGGCAAAATTGACTCCAACATATTCACTCAATCCTACATTCAAAGAATGTACAACACAGTAGATGAGCTATACAAATTAACAAGTATAATAATAATAATAATAATAATAATAATAATAATAATAATAATAATATTTATACCCCGCCCAGCCACTCTGGGCAGCTTACAGCTTACACATAAAAACATACAGTGGTGCCTCGCAAGACGAAAAGAATCCGTTCCGCGAGTCTCTTCGTCTTGCGGTTTTTTCGTCTTGCGAAGCAAGCCCATTAGCGGCTTAGTGGCTTAGCGCTATTAGCGGCTTAGTGGATCAGCTGATAAGCGGCTTAGCGGCTTAGCGGATCAGCTGATAAGCGGCTTAGCGGATCAGCTGTTAAGCGGCTTAGCGGATCAGCTGATAAGCGGCTTAGCGGATCAGCTGTTAAGCGGCTTAGCGGATCAGCTGATAAGCGGCTTAGCGATCAGCTGTTAAGCAGCTTAGGGGCTTAGGGGATCAGCTGTTAAGCGGCTTAGCGGATCAGCTGATAAGCGGCTTAGCGGCTTGGGGAAAAGGGGGGGGGGAGGAAAAAAAAACCTGCAGGAACTCGCAAGACATTTTCGTCTTGCGAAGCAAGCCCCTAGGAAATTTGTTTTGCAAAGCACCTCCAAAACGGAAAACCCTTTCGTCTAGCGGGTTTTCCGTCTTGCGAGGCATTCGTCTTGTGGGGCACCACTGTAGTAAAATGTCAAACTTTAAAAACTTCCCAATACACCGCTGCCTTCAGATGCCTTCTAAAAGTTGCACAGTTCTTTATCTCCTTGATATCTAATGGGAGGGCGTTCTACAGGGAGGGTGCCACTACCGAGAAGGCCCTCTGCCTAGTGTAAACTCTTTCAAACACCTTCACATGTGCAAAGACACTCTGTGTTCAGAGTAATGTGTGAACAAGCAATTTAAGAGACATTACATGAGTGAAAAACACCTTTTACATGTGGAAGAGCACTTTGGGGTCCAACAAATAGTTTTTTTTCTCTCATTGAGTCCAGTAATGATGTGAAATCACTACATATTATTCTTTAGAAGAGCTCTAACTTTTTCTGTTGTTTTTTTCCCACCTTTCAAAATGCTGCCAGGGATAACATGCTTTCTAGTTAATACGTAATAAAAAGTACAATGCCTTTCATATAATCATCCAGGAAAAACAGGATTTGGGTCAGTTAATTTCAAACAGGCTTCAATGGCCTTTCCAGCTGGCAATGGCACCAGTATCAAAACGCCTGGCAGAGCTATCAGTCTTCAGATGTGATGGTACGATCAAATTATGAAGGAATGAGAGACAATACAGAGGAGAAGTCAGTACTTTATTGCATCCTTGTCATGGTTTGAAAGCTGGATTCGCACCAAAATGATTTCCGTATCTTGATCACAGTTCTGGCACTGCTCTTTTTGACTGCCAAACACTCAGGACTCCCCTGTCCTAAAATATTGGAATCGTGGAAGGCTGAGCTTCCCTTTCAAATATAAACTTAATGGGGCTTAGCCATCATCCTACATTGGGGGTACTAAAAAGCAGAGGACAGTAGCTAGGATCCTCCCAAATTGAAGTAATGAATCTGGTCACTGCATTAAAGTAAAGGTACCCCTGCCCGTACGGGCCAGTCTTGACAGACTCTGGGGTTGTGCGCTCATCTCACTCTATAGGCCGGGAACCAGCGCTGTCCGCAGACACTTCCGGGTCACGTGGCCAGCGTGACAAAGCTGCTCTGGCGAGCCAGCGCAGCACACGGAAACGCCGTTTACCTTCCCGCTAGTAAGTGATCCCTATTTATCTACTTGCACCCGGGGGTGCTTTCGAACTGCTAGGTTGGCAGGCGCTGGGACCGAGCAATGGGAGCGCGCCCCGCCACGGGGATTCGAACCGCTGACCATGCGATCGGCAAGCCCTAGGCGCTGAGGTTTTACCCACAGCGCCACCCGCGTCCCTGGTCACTGCATTAGTGGATCTAAAATCTACCTTTCCCTATGTGGTTGTGGCTAGTGTGTGTGTTTATTTGAAAGAACCCTGCATTTGCAAAACGCCACCTAAATATATTATGAGTAAAGTGTTTTGCAAAATTTTGGCAAGGTCTGAAGCGTTAAAAGGGAAATCTGGCTTTGGAATTGTGTAGCACAGGGATAGATAATGTGATGCCCTGCAGAGGCTGTTTGGCTCCAACTCCCATCAGCCCCAGTCAGCATGGCCAGCAGCTAGGAATGCTGGGAGCTGGAGTCTACCAACATCTGCAGCACAGCTACCTTTGGCTTAGCAAAAGAAAAAGAAGGAAACAACACAAAAAGCAACGGAAATACTTCATTTTGGCTGTCAGACTTCGCAAGGAGGAGCGGATTTCCAAAACTGAGTCGACATTGGAGTTATAAAATTGGAGATGAAGCTCAAAGTTTATGTTCTAAGTGTGATAACTCTCAACATATCGAATGCCAGTTGCTTCTGCTTGGAGGCCAGCATGGGAGACTATAGCCGTATAAGGGCACCTCACATCTCCTGGCAACCACGTTGTTAAGGACAGATTACTTTTGTACAGTATGAAATTATGAAAGGAGAAAGAGTGAGAAAGCATATTTTTTAAAGGCAATTATCAATGAACAGAGGGCATCACTGTCATGTTTCACTTTCATTGTGTACATTGCTTTTTTAGGCTGGGGAGTCCTTCTGACATTACAAAGTGAAATAACAAATTCCCTCTTTTATTGTTTATTGAAAAGAGTCTTGCCTTTCTTTCCCCCTCTGGAACAAAACTCCCACGTTCCTTCAGACACTAACAAGGACACCATGGGCGTAACTAGGATTTTTGTTATGGGGGGCAGGCCTATTGTTGGTGGGGGCAGAACCTCAGTTAGCTATGTATTTTTATTGATTTTTATTGATTTAGGGGGACAGCTGCCCCTCCCTGCCCCCCCGAGCTATGCCCATGAAGGACACTGCATTGTTCCACTTGTGGATGGGCTATAGCTCAGTGGCAAAGCATCAATCTGCATGCTAGAAGGTCCTAGGGAAGAGATGGTGCCCTGCACCACCTTTATATTTTAAAGAAGAACCATAGCTCAGTGGTAGGGTATTGGCTTTGCATGCAGAAGGTCCCAGGAGGTTCGATTCCTACTATATCCAGGTAGGACTGGGAATATCCCCAGCCTGAATCCTGAAGATTCGGTGCCAGTCCATGTGGACAGTACTGAACTAGATTCACCAGTGGGCCTGACTCAGTTTAATGCAGTTTCCTATGTTCCCATGTTTCCTCTCAAAAGGATTTCTAGGAGACACTCACCTGTGTTGAAAGATGGGCTCAGTCATCTAGGACGTGTTTCATAGACCTCTAAACAGTCCATCTGTGTTTATTGAAAGTTTGTTGGGTGGGCAAGCTGCCTCTTCATGTTGAGGCAAAACCTCCTTGGCTTTCAACCCAGTATTCCCATTTACTCCGAAACCTACGAGTTACAACTGAGTAACTGGCTACTTTTCAATGAAGAATGAAGGGAAAGAGCTTCCAGGCTGAGTGTGACTTCGCCAGCCCAGCTTCCTTCTGGAATATTTGTTTTCCGTTAGGAATGCAGTTCTGTGGCACTGAAATTCACTCTTTCTCTTCCCCCTCTGTTGTAATTTTGGCTTTTAAAAAATAATGCAGAAAATAATATACATTTCAAGGGAGTTAACCTTTGGTCCCCACCCTTTTCCTGCCAAGTCAACCAACCATCAGTAGTTTAGTTGGACTGACATGTGGAAAAAGAATGAAAAAGCTTTGAATTCCAAGCTTCGAGACACTCAAACACTGATTTATCAGTACTTCATGTAATGGATGAAGCCATACTGGACAAGGTGAATGAGGAAATAGGTAGTGATAGGTAAACTCCCTTTCTTACAGTATTGACTTTGTCAGTATGAGCTTTTTTAGAACATGTCGTTTATGTGTGCACCTTTTCATCTTGCCGTCTTGCCTCTCTTCCCAAAACAACCATATCCAGGAACAAAAACCGCATCAAACATTTGTATGAAATAGACAGAAGTGACTCAAATAGAGTAGACATTTGCCAAAGAAAAGGCTTTAGTTGGGTGGTCTGGACATGTCAATAACAGCAATCAGTGAACGTTCCACTGAGAAGAATATTAAAGAAATTCTGCAAGCGCACTTACTGCCATTGTAGTTCATATTTCATTTCACAACAATCAGTGAGCTTATCGGTGAGGGTAAGGGGTTTAAACTTTTGCACATATGCCTACAAAGCAGCTGGCTTTGGGTGCCGATTGGCTGCATGCCAACTGCGCATGCACAGTATTGCATTCTGCTTTCTTTGCTGATGAAGAAACCTTGTAATTAAAAACATTCGCAGCATTGTTACAAATGAATGCTAGAAATAGTTATGAGCATACTTCACTTGCACTGCAATTGAATATACCCACGCACCAGGAATAAGCCCTATTGAATTTAACAGGACTCTTGATTAATATGTAGGATTGCTGTGTTAATACTTAAATTAGATGTTCATCTTATAAGACCCAGAGTCTTATAAGTTTAAGCTAAAAGTTCAACGAACAATAGGTTGGATTCAGTGCAGACCTTTTGTAAGTGGATTCCCACGTAAGTGGTAAGTGGTAAGGCAGTTTTTGCTGATTCTCCTTCCTGAGATCTCCTCCTTCCCCTCCCATGCTATTCCACAGAATCCCTGAGCTACAGCAGAGGGCTGCAGAGAGAAATGGCATTGGAAGCTCCCGTCTCCGCCTGCCCATCTTTCCATGAGTAGATCTTTGGTCCATCAGTAGATCTAGCCCAAGTGCGTTTGACAGAAAAACTTCTAGTATGATAGAAAATCCATGGAGGTAAAAATGCATTGCATTTCTTTCTCTTCTCAAATTGCCTGTTTTCTGGTTTTACATCTGAAATTCAAACAAGATTTTCCTTTAATTTTTTAAGTTATAGCTACTGTCTCAGATCTTATGGGGTATGAGATCTTACTCAGCCCTCAGTGGAATAGAAGCAGACATTGACTTTATAACTTTTTACAAATGTTTAAAATCCCGTTGTCTTCCATACAAATTCCCCAAAACTAGTCAATTTCAAAGAAAGAGGAAGAGACATCATCTTCCTATGAGCAAAGGTTTGGATCAGAGGACTTCCTTTTAATTTCTGACTATTGTCCTCATATTTCATTCCTTTTTGTCATGAAAACAACATCTTCCTAGATCCTTCTTTAGACAGAAAGGAAACATGTTGGAAACATTATTAATGTGACCTAACATAAACTCCTTATTTAAACAGAAAATCCAAATAAGATTTTACCATAGGGGAGAATTTTCTGATTTAATGTGTTTTTACAAGCACTTGAGAGGAAGAAAAAATAAAAATGATCAAGTAAACAAGATAAAAAGGCTGAACTTTGGGACATTATCTAAAGGCAGCAAGCAAAGTAGAAGAAATGTTTGGAAAAATTATCAGAATTATGTTTTCTTTCTTTACTGGGGGGAGGGGGAATGCAGGGAAAATGAAAACGAAAAAGCACAACCCAGTAAAACATACAGCCAGAATGAAGGGACTTGAAAGCAAAAGAAAATGAGATGCAAAAATATATAACTATGTACCATATGGTAAAATTAGGGTAGCATATGTAGTACCGTACTACTACAGCCTCCCTTCACTTAAAATGGATGCTATCTCAAGCAGTTTACAGTAAATAGGCCAGTTATAGGTTAGGGCTAATTCAAACCAGAATCCCCAAAATTATCTGTGTTATGGAGAAGTTAAACAAATGGCATATATATTTGTGTATGTATGTATTAAAAGCCGTGTCTATTGTAGATTCTGCTTAACAGTTTTCCATCACCTAACACCGGAAGTCCCAGGATTCTCCTGCCCCGTATGTTGTTTTTTTTAATTGTACAGGTCAGTCAAAATATAGTTAAACATAATTAATAAAAAAGGGGAGCAGATAATGTATACTGTAAATAGTTTAAGCATGTAATCGGTCAGTATTGCACAACACCTTCATTCTCAAGATTTGCGAATCATAGCCAGTTCATATATATATATGCACTTGGCTGTTAATGATACTTGTGGAATAGATTTATTTATATTATAGAACGCGATCCTGTTGAGATGTCCATTCTATAATGTTTATGGATTACTTCCGCAAATATAATTATATACCTGAAAAGTGTAATATATGATGGAGGGATTTTTTTTAGAAGTGCCAATCCCAAAGAGCCCATAGGAGATGCTGTCTCATGCATGTTGGCAAGATGACAAGCCACACATGTGAGGAAATGACTAATTAGCAAGGGGACATGGGAATCTGATATTGCCCCCATTGGTAGAGACATGCCATGGAAAGGCCTGGGTGTTCTTAATTACAGAGGAAATAGCGCCACCCGCCTGCCCCAGCGGTCAAGGGTCATGGAAAAATGAAGAGAGTTCCTCAGGTACACCTTTATTTCACACATTGGTGGCAGTCTCTACAAAAAGAATTAAAAGACCCAAATCTAGAAGCATCTGTTGTTTAAATTCTCACTTCTAAATAAACCAGTCAGTCCAGAGAGTGCTTGTTCTATTGCTTTACAAGGCGGAGGAAGTACACTGCTCAGCCGGAATGATTTTTGCTTTTGCATTTTTGTTGCCATGGTGGGAAGGAAGAGGCAGATACCAATAAATGGGATTTAAACAGGCAGCAGTAAATGGGATTCAAACAGGCTTCATTGAAGGGACACAGCATATATCAGGGGTCAGCAAACTTTTTCAGCAGGGGGCCAGTCCACTGTCCCCAGACCTTGTGGGGGCCTCAACTATATTTTGGGGGGGGGGAAATAATGAATGAATTCCTATGCCCCACAAATAACCCAGAGATGCATTTAAAATAAAATGACACATTCTACTCATGTAAAACACACTGATTCCTGGACCGTCCATGGGCCAGATTTAGAAGGCGATTGGGCCGGATCCGGCCCCCGGGCCTTAGTTTGCCTACCCATGGCATATATGCATGGGCGTATTAGCATGAGCACATTGTTCTCACACTGACACTGATTCACAAAGCTTGACATTCTCTTAATAAGAACACTGCAGTGAAAACTGCTTATTCAAGTATGTTATCCATGCTATCTCTATTCATTGAAGCTGAGTCCAGATTAAGACCCCAGTCCTGTACTTTACTTAGCTGGGAACAACACTGTTAAACTAAACAAAATTTGAATGGGATTGCACTGTCAGTCCGTTGAACTTGGTTCCCATTGAAATGAGTGGGACGAGCTATTCATGCCTTAAGTCCCATTGGTTTCAGTATAAACTGGGTTCCACTAAGAGGCTGCAGGCCTAACCCTATTTACATGTAAGCTAGCCACAATGGCTATGTTCTGCCTCTACTGTCAGAGGCAACTTGCCTCTGAATAGCAGTTGCTGGGAACCACAGGCAGGGGGAATGCTATTGCAGTCAGGTTCTGCTTGTGATAGCTATGTGAACAGTGTGGGGGGCTAGACGGAACCTATTCTATTTTTTTTACCATTCCAATCACTTCTGGAGCAGATCTGGAAATCATTGGGGATTGAGGGTGTGTGTGTGTGCTTGAAGAGAGAAAGCCTTCCACTCAAAGAGCCACTGCTCTTGTTGTGCTTTCTTTATCCAAGGTCAGACAACCTGCTTGGAAACTTGAGCTTCCCCGCATTTATCTGACTCCTGCACATGTCAGCTTTATTTACATGTGTTATGGTTATAGCTGCCAAGCAGTGTAATTTTAATCATCCTTTACACTTGACAGAGAGCAGAAACATTATTCAAATATTCAGATAGAATATCATTTCATATAAATAAATGGCCTACAGATTCAGGAGGAATATATAGCTAACATATCCTAGAATGTAACAAAACAAAAAAAAGCTGTGTGTTTATTTTGAATTCTTGATCTTGATCTCTGGCTTTAGCCATTGCTTTTGGGAACAAACCACCATAATATCACCTATCAAAAGTTTCGGTGCAAAGTGATGTTACAGAAAACGCAACTATATTGCCCACTTTCAGGCCACGGGAAAAGTGAAATGCTAATTATTTGACCTTTCCTTTGACAAAACAGAAAGGGTCAGAACTATGTGATCAATATACTTCTTTCTCTTCAAGCTTCTCTCTCCTGCAATATTACTTAATAGTGTATTCATTTCACACTTATATTTCCCCCTCTAGGGTAAAAATTAGGAATAAGTCTGAACTACACATCATTTTCAGGGAACATTTTATTCAGAGTTAACAAACTGTTGTTGCTGTTTTAGTTTTTGTTGTGATCGTTTCTTTGTCATCATCGTCTTCATCTCCTTATGCCTCACCCTTCCTCTCATGAGAGACCAGGATGACTAACCATGAAAATCAGCTTTAAAAATGAAAGTGGAAAATGCTGTCCCCACTTTTTTGGATAATTTTTATTATGGCTGTAGAAACAGACCTGTTCCTTTAAAGGTATACTGGTGTTTCAAGCTCTTTTAAACAATTTCATTTGCTGTTGGTGAACTATCTCACAGTCAGATATGATTGGTTGGCATAGTGATGTCTCCTAGATCGGTCCAAAAGCCTTGAATAGTTCAGACCACCCTTATGACTAATCCAGTAAGGATTGTCCTCATTTGCAGATGTCCGTTTGCCCTCAGGGATGTGCCTAAATGGCAGGTGTTGGGGAAACAATGGCACTAAATCAGCTCAAAAAAGTTTGTTATTGAGGCAATTTGGGAAATTGTCAGTTATCTTTTCTCCCTGACATAAAAAGTATCCTAAACAGATTCAGAAGGGTAGAGTACTGACATAAATTTGTAATTAAATACCAGAATCTACTTTCAGAAAAAACAAAAAATAGAGTTCTGAAAGTAGCATAATGTTAACAACACTTACATAAATATATGTTTGATCTAAACTGCATTACTTTTTTCTTAAGTAGCAGTCTGAAACAGCAGCAAACATTTCAATCCACCTGCCACTGCGAGGTTAACAGTGTATTTGGATTTACTAATAGGAAGAGCAGCTTTTCATTTTCTGGATCAAAACCAAATTTTGCGTTTCAGCAAAGAAGATTTTCCCCATGAGAAATGAAGAACTAATGCCATATATATTACAATCACTTTCAAGGATACCTATCCTCAGTTACAGTGCTGCAGAGAAGTACAAACACATGTAAGTCTCTCAGAATAAAACAGGAATAGAAATCCATCGCATTGCTCTTTATAATCTCACAGAAATGAACATCCCTGCTTGCTTATACAATAAGTAAAGCACACAAGATTACTGAGATGCATCACAGCGTAAAGGGTGATATATTTTATTTCAATGGCTTGGAGTTGTGCCTGCCCAAATGTCTGCCATGGGGCTTTCATGGGCAGCTCTATGTGTGGAACTGTGAGCCAACAATACGTGTAGAATTACACAAAGCAGAGCTTGAATTGAGCATTGAATTTAGAGTCCCGCAGCCCCATTTTCCTCCCCATCATGTTGGCACATAATCTACCATGAATCAGGACAGTACAATCTGAGTCTATTCAGATAGGGCATAAGAACCAGGATAGAGCAGGAACCAACAAAGTTAGTAGGAATTGATTGGACCAACAAAACATATAACACAGATTCAACTCTTTATGCTCTCCCCCTTTCTCTCTCACACACTCATGAAACACACAATATATTCAACCACAGAGGCATAAAATAACATTCTAGCTAATATCTTTCCCTATAGCAGATTTAAACAGGAGTGTCTACAATAACTTGCAGAAGTATTTCTCAGCAAAATTATTTTATTCCAAGGCTAGGCACAAATTCAGGAAGAAAGTAATAGGCACTTCTGTTCACAGAAAATAATAT